TCGTGAAAACCTAATGCTGTGAAGGACCCCCAGGCAAACCATTCTCCAATCCTATGCATCCCAGAGTCCCTGTCCCAGAGCAGCTGATTTCAGTGTCAAATCTCAGAAGATAATTCTCAAGCCCTCCATCCAATTTCCAAGCTTGTACTGTAAGCACCACTTCTCCAGCTGGGTGTTGTCTGGTGAGGTTTCAGTGCCAACTTACATTCTGAAGGCTTTTACTGCTCATTCCTCTAAAAAGCCTCTTGATGCATCCAAATTCCAAAAATGGATGGGGTTCTTACCCAGGGCTGAGGACTAGGAATGCTGGGAGAAGAAGCACACTTCTTTCCCTGAAGGAGCCCTATTTGGACAGGTCAGTGACTCAGTGGGTGCCCGCTGCCCTGGAACCCTGTAGGAGCATAGACAGGGACCAGATAGTAGGAAACTTCCTGGAAGAGGAGGATCTGGTGAGTCTTAAAGTTCACCTAGTTAAACAGGGTAGCGTGGAGCAAATCCAACACTGCTGCACTGGGGATTAAGTTTCCAACTGTGTATTTTCTAACTTTCTTTCTTATTTCTTTTCTTTCTTTCTTTCTTTTTCTTTTCTTTTTTTTTTTTTCTTTTTCTTTTTTTTTTTTTTTTTTTTTTTTTGGTACCAGGAATTGAATCCAGGGGCACTCAACCTTGGAGCCACATTCCTAGACCTTTTTAAAATATTTGATTTGGAGACAAGACCTCACTAAGGTGCTTAGGGCCTCTGAGCCTGGCTTTAAACTCACAATCCTCCTGCCTCAGCCTCCTGAGCAGCTGGAATTACAAGTTTGCATCACCATCACAACTCTGTGAGCTCTAATCATTATCCCCATCTTTCAGATATAGGAACTCCTGAGAGTAAACCTACCCAAGGTCACAAAGCCAATTAAAGTGGCAGAAATTGGACTCTATGAGTTCCATAAGTAACACGTGAGTTCTGGGGGACACATTCCCACCATAGCAGGGGCATACCAAGTCTGAGTGGGAAATAGTTAAAATTTTAGACAGGGAAGGCCTCCTTGAGAGAGTGGCTCTTGAGAAAAACCTGAAAGAAGCAAGTCATATGGAAATCTAAGAGAAAGGCAATCCAGAGAGTGGGTACAGACCAGGCAAAGCTCTGAGGGGTGAGGGGTGAGTGTGCTGGGGTATCCAAGGAATGATGGGGAGGCGGGGTCCTGGGCAGAAGCAAAAAGACGAGTTGGGGAAGCTAATGCAAAACTCTAAGCAAGAGATGATGGTGGCTTGGGGGCAAGTGATGAGAAATGGCCAGATTCTGGAAATGGTGTGAAGACAGAGCCAGTATTTGCTAATGGGCCAGGGACAGAGGGTAAGAGTGGAAAAGGGGATCACGCAAAGCCCCAGAGGTGCAAGTTGGAGTCCAGTGTATTCTATATTCTTTCTCCCCCACCCCAGAAGTCCTCCCTACTCCTTGGATTTATTTATATCACTTGCAGCCCAACTTCCCTACTCAGTAAAGGACATTTGGTATTAAAAAGAGTAGATTTAGGGCTAGGATATAATTCAGTGGGAGAGCGTTTGTGTGTGTGTGTGTGTGTGTGTGTGTGTGTGTGTGCGCGCGCGCGCTCGAGTGCACACACACACAGAAAGAACAGATTTTAAACTGGTTTAAAAATTTCTGAAGCTATGACTTTTTTTTTTTTTTGAGATGGGACCACAGTTGCCCAAGCTGACCTAGACTCTCCATCTCCCTGTCTCAGCTTCCCAAGTAGCTGGGAATATAGATGTGGGCCACCAGGCCCAGCTGAGACTGTGACTTCTAAGACTGGGGCATAAAACATAATACATCTCCTGTCATGTCCTCCAAAACACTTGTTCGATGTTCTAAAATATTATCACTTTATGGTTCTGCAGACTTCTAATGATAATACTGGAAAAATAATCCTATTTTTCAGGTATCCAGCAGAAACCTTTCAGAATACAGTACTGAAATTCTGTACATCATAAACGTACTCAACATACTCTGAATGTTACAAGTTTGCTGAAATTCTGCTTCATGGAATTCCACTGCATTGATTAGAGAAGCATTCCTGTCTCTTATGATTTAAGCCTTAGACAGATCCACACTTGATAAACTATGTGCCACTTTTATCAAATGAATGGATGAGTTTAGCACCATAAACTCAAACTTCACTAAATTTATGTATTTGTTTGTTTGTATGTTTGTTTTTGTGGTGCTGGGGATCAAACCCAGGGCCTCACATGTACTAGCCACACACACTACCACTGAGCCACATCCCCAGCCCTAATTTAATTTTTATAGTTTGTTCATTTATTAGTTCAAGGAAAGAGAGAATAAATAGAGTAACAGTATACAAGCAATGAATGATAGTTTCATGATGAGTAAAGATATTAAATAGGAAAACCAAGGCCATCTGATTTTATCTTAAATACTGGCCTGTTACTTTAGCATTGCATTTAGAGCCAGTATTCTGGTTTCTGTACAAAAGTAATGCCTTTCTTTGACATTGGTAACTCACTAAGCATCTATCTTAATGGTTCCTACATTAAAAAAAATACCTTATTGTCCTCAGCAGTAAATAACCTACATTGCATTCAATTAGACAAATTAGTTTATATTTCTATTCCAAACTATATCCACTACTGTACGTCCATCCATGCCACGCACACATTCTATAATCAGAGAAATTCTATGCTATCAGTATGAGTTACATTTACTTTTACATTGGATAGTGTAGTCAACTGAATGTTTTTTTAAAATATTAAGAAAGAAATCTTCATATAACTACTTCTGAATAGATGATTCCCAAATTCTAACACCTCCACGCTGGTTCCTCTACAGGGCTGCAAATCTTTTGTCTAGTATCTTCTAGACTCATGCATCCCAACCTAAATGCATCCTCAAACTGCCCCTATTCCCATATTCTGAGTATCTATTTGTGACATCTCCATCCACCTGGTCAGCCAGCTTCAAAGTTTGAATCTTCGACGCCTGTCTATCCTTCACCTCCTATAACAAATCATTGGCCAGATATTACCCCTGAACAGTGCCCAAACTGACTTTCCAACATCTACCCTTTCCCTTCTTCCCCTCACTACCACAATTTTCTCTTTAAAGCTCAAATATGTTATTACTTGCTCAAAATATTTTTTAAAAATATTATGTTTTCCCTCCCTCCTTCCATGGAATAGCCTAAATGCCTTAGAATCAAACCAAGCCTTTCCACAATTTGGCCAACTCCCCACTGCACTGTTTTGACTGTACCTGGGATTTAACTGGTGGAGGTGAACAAGTCATGACACAGTGGTCAGGACACTGAAAGAAATTTTATTACTCAGTTTTCAGACGAAGGGCTGTTCTCTACCACATGGGCCACATGGGGAAGTAGCAGGGTCAGTGAGTAGGCAGAGGGAAGGAGGGAAAGCATAGCTCTGGTGAGCCTTTGTTGTGGTTTCTGTGGGAAGAAATGAAGACACAGAGAGACAGGCTTGAGTAAACTTAGAATCAGATGGTTTGATCAGATTGTCAGTGGGCAGCAGAGTGGTCTCTAATTGTCCTGTACAGGATTCTGGGGTGATTTACCATGGTGCTTTAGGGAAGGGAGATATTGGCTTGGTGAGTGAATTAGATAAAGGAAGTGATTGGTTTGTATAACAAAGACATGTTCAAAGACACTTGTTTGCAATCTCTAGGAATTAGCTGACTTTGGAGGGGTAATTCCTCTCTGGTTCTCCAATCCCCAAGATGTCAAAGCATCATGAAATACAAAAGATAGTCCCAAGATGGTAACAGCATCCAGGCTTCTGAGGCTAGCTCAGTGTAGCCTGCAGTGCTTGGGCCCAAGGGGATGCTCTTGCTAGACTGGCCTTTCCCTCCTAAATTAGGGCAGCAGTAGCCGCATCTTGGCTCTCCTCCATGGTGCTGAGTGAGCCCAAAGTGTGTCCACTGGAGACTGCAAGTATAGATGAATGGAATATTGCACAGTAGTTTACGGATGACAGTTTTGATCTGAAAGTCAACCCAACAATAGGTGCATCTTTCATGATCAAAACTGTCCAGTTGCAAAATGAGCTATATAAATTCCTAACCTGGACTACAGCTAACAAGAACTATTGTGCCTTGGTACCAATATACCACAGGGGGTCAACCGCAGTATAATTGTTGATATCACACAAGAAGAGATATTTCAACATGAAGGGATTGTGAGAGCTTCGACAGCATGGCCCATCTCATATTATGGGTTTGAGAATATAGAGGCAGGCTGGGGATCCTGCCACCAGGTATCACCTAGCACTTGAGCCTTTTTCCTGCAAAAAGGACTTTCAGAAATTGACCAGTTCTCTTCTGTCTTTGAAGACTGCAGCAATGACATTCCAGTCTGTGAAGTTCTCTTATGTAAAGAATCTCTGACATGCAAAGGAACGACATCAGTGGTTTTTGACCTTGTTGAAAAGGAATGTATATAATTCTATGGATGGGAGGATTACATTTTTGAGCAGGTAATCAGGATTTTATATAGTATTCATAAAAGAAAAAAAGCACTTTCATGATTCTTGAGGGGAGAAAAGGGCCTTTTGAGAGTGTAATTTCCCTGGTTTCTCATTACCACTTTAGAAGAAATTGTATTATTTAAAATGTTGTAGGTATTGTTAGCAGAAGGATAGCAATCATTACCTGAAGCTAACCTGGGTTATTTATAAGACTCAAGGAAATAATTTCATCCTGACTTGTGTAAAGCACATTTCATCTAATACAGATGCCCCTTTGATTTATGATAGTAACCGCCCAATAAATCCACTGTAAATTTAAAATATCATCAAGTTGAAAATGCATTTAATACACCTAAGCTACTTAATGCCCAACGCTAAGCTCCACACCAGGAAAACTTCCGGGGGGGACCGCCCTCCACGGCGCCAGCCCCTCGGTCTCTCGGACCAATCCACAGGTTTTGTCGATTGCTTCTGCCTGGGCAGTGTTCCCGGCGCGGCAGCCCCGCCCTGATCGACTGCTCGGGTCTGGCCCGCCCCCGGGCGCGGGAAAGTAAGTTTTTGTTGAGTTTTTATCCGGGCGGCGGCTGCAGTGATCTGCTCAGCCCGAACCATTCCTCAGCGTCCTCGGCCTCTCCTTCTTCCTGGTCCCCCTCGAACCACACGAGTGCAGCCGAGGGGCCCAGCTCGCCGCCATGTCCGAAGCTTATTTCCGGGTGGAGTCGGGTGCGCTGGGACCCGAGGAGAACTTTCTTTCCTTGGACGACATCCTGATGTCCCACGAGAAGCTGCCGGTGCGCACCGAGACGCCCATACCTCGCCTGGGCGCTTTCTTCCTGGAGCGGAGCGCGGGCGCGGAGCGGGACCACGAGCTGCCCCAGGTGAGAGCCGCCGGGGACCCGCCGGAGCCTCGCGCGAACCGCCGCTGAGGGTCGGGCCCGCCGAGCGCCTGCGCGTCAGGGTCGCGTCGCGTGGGCCTGGGCGCACTGCAGCAGCGCGCGGGGAACGGGAGCCGCCCGGTGCCGGGCGTGCCTCCGACCCTCCGGCGCCACGTGACCCGACCCGCACTGGCCCCCTCCCCCCAGCTGGGGGACGGGTGGGAGCCCCCGACGGCACCCGCAGCCCTTCCTGAGGCCTCCCGGGTGCTAGCGTGGGCGGGGTCGGCGACCTGTCATCCTTCTCCGACCTCGTAGGTTGGTGTTGTCAGCCCAACAGAAAGGTTGGGTGGCTCGGCCAGGGCCCCCCAGGAAGCGGTGAGCTGGGATTCCAACCAGCCCTGTGGCTGCACACAGGTGCGTCCCAGGACAGTGACTTGTAATGGCTGTTTTTCATTTCCTGTTGAACCTGTTTTGTTTAGAAGGATGTTTTTTGGGGGGCTGTTTTAGTTTTTATGAAAGTAACACAAATTTTTAAGTGAAATAGTAACTATATATATCTTATATATTAGATGTATATATATATATATATATTAGGTATATATACATATAATATATTATTAATACATATATTAGATATATACGTATATGTATATATACATGTAATGTAATATACATATATACACACACTATATATATAGACATATATATATATATATATATATATATATATATATATGTATACTTTATTTTCCCACATAGGGCCTGTGTACATTTTTAGTGATGTCTTCAAATTCACCTCTATATATTTTTAATATCTTTATTTATCTGTTTTTATGTGGTGCCAACCATTGAACCCAGTGCGACATGTTAGGCAAGCACTCTACCACTGAGCCACAACCCCAGCCCAACCTTCATACTTTTAGATGATATTCTTAAACTCATCTTTGTGATTTGTAAAAATGCAGACATTATTGACATCCCATTACAGTACATTGTACTTATTGTGTTAACTGGTAAACACAGAGATATGCTGCCATAACTTTATTCATATTTACTTAGTTTTTAACCTAATGTCCTTTTTCTATTTCAGGTTTCTATCTATGGTACCACATTGCATTTAGTAATCATGTCTTCTTAGGCTCCTTCTTAGCAGTAACAACTTTGAGATTTTACTTGTTTTTTTTTGTTGTTGTTGTTTGTTTGATACTGCGCATTGAACCCAGGGGCACTTTACCATTGAGCTACATCCTTAGCTCTCAGAATTGCTTAGGGTGTCTCTAAGTTGCTGAGGCTGACCTTGAACTTGTGGTCCTCCTGGCCTCACTTGCTGGGATTATGGGCATGCACCACTGCCTTGCCTGAGGTTGCCTTTTAGTTAGTGTTTGCGTGACATTTTTTTTCTGTCCTGTTTTCAACATTTCTGTGTCTTTATATTTAAGGCATGTCTCTTCTAAGCAGCATATAATTAGGTCTTTTCATTGAGTTTGGCAATTTTTAATTAATTAATTTATTTATTTTTAATTTTTTTTAATATTTATTTTTTTTTAGTTTTCGGCAGACACAACATCTTTGTTTGTTTGTGGTGCTGAGGATCGAACCCGGGCCGCACGCATGCCAGGCGAGCGCGCTACCGCTTGAGCCACATCCCCAGCCCTAATTGATGTATTTAATCCATTTACTTTTAATTATTGATATGCTTGTGTTTATTTTTACCTTCCTATTGACCCTTCCCTTCTGGGATTCAAATTACTTGCATGTTAGAGTTTTTCTTTTTCTTTTTTCTCACCGTATTTTATGTGTGTTTGTTGTGCTCTTGTCTATATTTTTTCCTGCATGGAACTTCCATTTGATGATTTTTTTTTAATATCTTTATTTTATATTTATATGGTGCTGAGAATTGAACCCAGTACCTTGCGCATGCTACCACTTGAGCCACATCCCCAGCCCCTTGATGATTTTTTAAAAATTTTTTTTACTTGTAGATGGACACAATATCTTTATTTTATTTATTTATTTTTATGTGGTACAGAGCATCGAATCCAGGACCTCACTCATGCAAGGCAAGCACTCTACCACTGAGCTACAACCCCAGCCCTCCATTTGATTTTTAAGTCCTATTTTAAAGTTGGTGTCTGATTACCCTGATATTTGGTGTCAAATGTTTGGAGTTGCTCTTGGCCCCTCCATCCTGGCTGCTTTAGCAGATTTGAATTCAGACACAAACGTGTCTTCAGCTGGTGGTATTTTGTCAGAGCTCTGCTTACACCACCCACCTTCTCAAAGCTGCTCCCACCCTTTGCTGCAGTTCTCCCTAGTATGCTTGTGTTGCTTCCTTTAAACTAATTATGTTTATCTTTGTTTTTTTTTTTAATGAGATTTCTCTTAAGACTCAAGTTGATCTCATAGAAGTTGAGAATAGAATGGTGGTTACCAGAAGCTAAGGAGAGGATGGGGATGTAAGGCTGGGGAGAACTTGATCAGTGAGTACTAAATTCTAGTTAGATAACGGTAGGAAGTGCTTGTGTGCTATTACATAGTAGAATGACGATAAATAATGATATATAATGTATGTGTTTAAAAAGCTAGAAGAAAGGACCAGGTGTGGTGGCTCGTGCCTGTAATCCCAGCTACCAGGAGGATCACAAGTTAAAGGCCAGCCTGGGCAACTTAGCAAGACCTTGTCAAAATAAAATAAAAAGGGGCTCAGATGGTAGAGTGCTTGCCTTGCATGCACAAGGCCCTGGGTTCAATCTCAGCACACACACCCCCCGAAAAAAATAAATAAAGTAAAATAAAAAGGACTGGGGATGTAGCTCAGAGGTAGAGTGTTCCTGGGTTCAGTCACCAGTACCACAAATAAGTAAATAAATTTAATAAAAATAGATGAGACTTCAACCCACACAGTTCATTTCTTCATTCACAACCAGGTCTTCTGCATATGACAGTCACACACACACACACACACACACACACGCCCCAAATAGAACACACAGTTTCTCCCAGGCGCTGTTTTTTTTTTTTTTTTTTTTTTGTCAGACATATTTACCATGCTGTTTGTTTTTAAAATCTACCTCTTGTCTGATGCAGGGCTCAAAGATTGAACTCCCCTTGTGGCTGGCAAAAGGACTTTTTGACAACAAGAGGCGCATCCTTTCCGTGGAACTTCCCAAGATCTACCAACAGGCCTGGAGGACCGTGTTTAGTGCAGATGCCAATGTGGTAGACCTCCACAAAATGGGGCCTCATTTCTATGGATTTGGTTCCCAACTCCTGCATTTTGACAGTCCTGAGAATGCAGATATTTCTCAGTCTCTTCTGCAGGTAAATAACTGGTGTGAAGGCCTAGGATGCTACACTGGTCTCAGGAGCCAGCCAAATGTCACTTTAGTTTTTTATTATTTCCACTTTGGCCTGTAATTACAGCGTACCTGCTGTGTGTGTGTGTGTGTGTGTGTGTGTGTGTGTGTGTGTGTGTGTGTGTGTATGAGTATGAGAATATACCTGTCTCCTGTAACATGTATCATTCTTTACAGTAAGATTTTTTTCTGTGATCCCAGCAGTTCAGGAGGCTGAGACAGGAGGATCGTGAGTTCAAAGCCAGCCTCAGCAAAAGCGAGGTGCTGAGCAACTCCGTGAGACTCTACCTCTAAATAAAATACAAAGTAGAACTGGGGATGTGGCTTAGTGGTTCAGTGCCCAAGTTCAATCCCTGTACATACACCCCCCCCCAAAAAAAAGACGTCTTAGCTTTTTGAAATGTATAATTCATTATTGTTATCTGTAGTCACCCTACTGTGTAACTTCCTCCTAACTATAATATTTTTAAAACATGACTTTTCAACTGCACTTGATATTTGCCTATAATTGGAACTAACAGCAAATCTAGGGAATGAGGAAAAGGTAATGGTGAGTTACAAGCACTTAGATACTCGATTCCAGCCCAGTTGCAGGTCTGCTCTAGGGGTTTCTAGTGGAAATACTTGAATGACTTGGTTATTTGTTCCCTTCCGTTGTTCTGTGGTTAGGACTTGGCTCTGCCATGAACTAATTGTGTGACTTGGTCAAGTGACTTGACCTCTCCAAGCATCAGTTCTGGAGATTAATAATAGTACCATGTAGTACCATTTAACACATGCGGTAAATAGTAACTATGCTATTTTTCATGAACAAAACCATGTTGTGTATATTATCATTCTTTGTAGTTTATTTTAACCCTTCATAATTTTATTATTTTTTATGTTAATATTAGAAGAAACATTTCCACCTGTTGGGATATAAGCAGTTGAAAGACTTTACTTCCTCATTTTTATTTTTATGAGAGCTGTTAACTTAAGACAGGTTTGCTCCCTGGGCTATGCCGACATCCTCCATCAGGCTTAAGGGTTCTTTGGCCCACCAACTACTAGTCCTCCTTTTAATGTAAATAATAAAGAAAAATGTTGCTGTCCATTCAGAAAAAGAAAGTCTATATAGAGACTATAAGCTTGAACTCAAGCTTATGGAATTTTTTTTGAGCAGAAAGATAAAAACAAGGAAAACCCATTTGTCTTACAGTGTTTGCAGGATATGTGCTTAAATTGGAGTCTTACTCTTCTTTAGTGAGCTGGGTGTTTTCTTTTCCCATCATTACTTTCAAGTGCTTTAGAGTTGCTTATAGATAGGGTGACTTCACCCTGACACAGTTGAAGAGACTGGAGCAGGGACTTGTGGTTTGTGCTCAGAGCCCAATTTAAAATGACACCGCTAGAGCTCGAGGGTCTCCATCCTGATTTCAGACAGAGAATGATAGAAACCACATTCAGGGCTGGGGTTGTGGCTCATTGGCAGAGCCCTTGCCTTGCACATGTGAGGCACTGGGTTTGATCCTCAGCACTTCATTTAAAAAATAAATAAACAAAATAAAGATATTGTGTCCATGTATAACTTGAAAAAATATTAAAAAAAAAAGAAACCACATTCAATTAAAAATGCTTGCAGTTGAAAGCTGTTGGCATGTGACTGCAGTACATTATTAGAGCCTTTGTTAACAATGACAATTATGAGTACTGCTCTTTTTTTGGTACCAGGCATTGAACTCAGGAGTTCTTAATCACTGAACCACAAGCTAGCCCTTTTTTAAATTTTTTTTTTAATTTGGGGGGATAGGGTCTTGCTAAATTGCTTAGGGCCTCACTATTTTGCTGAGGCTGGCTTTGAACATGCAATCTTCCTGCCTCAACCTCCTTAGCTTCTGGGATTATAGACGTGCACCACCAAACTGGGCTGAGTAATGCTTTTTGAAAAGCTGGGTGCTTTACAGATATTACTTCATTGGTTTTCATAACAATTTTCCCAATAATCCATTTCACAGTTGAGGAAATCAAGGCTTGATAATGTGCAGTAGCTTATTTGAGTGGTAGACAGCCACTCAGGCCTCTTTCTGAGTCCTGACAACAAATTCTTTCATGCCATACAAATATTCCAGGATAAAAATGGATCTGGTTTTATGGGATGTGAGATCAACCCTGATTTCCCCTGTTCACTTCTTCTGCAGACGTTTATTGGACGTTTTCGCCGCATCATGGACTCCTCCCAGAACGCTTACAACGAAGACACTTCGGCACTGGTAGCCAAGCTAGATGAGATGGAGAGGGGCTTATTTCAAACAGGCCAGAAAGGACTGAATGACTTCCAGTGTTGGGAGAAGGGACAGGCTTCCCAGATCACAGCTTCCAGCCTTGTTCAGAATTATAAGAAGAGAAAATTCACTAACATGGAAGACTGAAGGCCACAAGAACCCAGGATTGTTATTGGTGGATTTATCTCGTTTATGTCCTTGATAAGACCTAGCTGACCTTGTACAGGATCAGATTGTATCCTGTTTCATAACTTACATCCTGCAGTAATTTCAGGAGTCAGGATTAACTGGTTGGGAAAGGATGCCCTGGCCCTGTGTGTCCTCTAGGCCTGTCTCACCCAGCCTGGGCCTTTTGACCCAAGAACCATAGCCAAAGAGAAACCAAAGTGTGTGCTAAATAAGGATCAATGACATACATCACAGTCAAGTTGGAGCTGGGATTTCTTGTGTTGGGGAGTTTGGGCAGCATGAGATATCCCTTTCACTAACTGCAAAGGGCAGGTACAAAGTGGGTCATCTTTGCCTGTTCACATCATGTTCTCTTGAGTGTATTTGCCTCATCTTCCTCGTGGTTGAACAAAAGATAGCACCCCCATGATGTTGGCCCAACTCGTAAATATCTCCTGCTGCCTGCCTGCAGGGAATTAGCCCAATTTCCAAAACAGTCACCCAGTAGAGAGCAAAAGGGGAAGACAGGTGAATGGCACAGCAGAGAAGAGAAGGTGTTGTTTTTGTCCTCTGGTATCAGGGCTCTATGGACTGGAATCATCACTCTGCTGCCAAGCTAGAGGGGACATAGTTAAACTGAGCTCGTGTTTGTCTCTGATCTTTGGGGCACTTATTCCATTACTGTCTAGAAAGGCTGTCAGGGAGTTGACCAGCCTTTGTTACATATGGAAATTGGGACCAGAAGATTGCAGATTGTGAAGACCCCTGCTTAAAAAACATGGCAAAGGTTAAGGGGCAAGTTGTTTTTGCTACATTATTAAGTGAAGGATCCCCGACCATTTAAGGGAAACTATTTAAGCAAGCTTGAAACTCTTCCCGGGAGAGCAAGGAGGAACTCAGGCTGAGTAGAAAACAGAATTTCCTGGGACCCATTAGACTGTCCAGTGGGCAGTTTTCTCACATCACTGCTCCCTTTCCAGTCTCCCACCACTAATGAACACTGTCTTATTGTTGGATGTTTTAAATGAATTTGGGTATCCAGATTGTGCAAATATCTTGATGCAAATTTAGAATGACAAGTGTTTTTTTAAATGCCTGTTTTAAGATGGAATTGATGTTTTTACAATTTGACTTTGGTGCTAAATAAGTGATCAGCTTTGCCTGTGAATACATTCTGTACGAGTGCTATTTCTGTCACTGGTGCTACAGATGATCAGCAAAGTCACCCGAGAATTTTGCCTTTGATCATATTTGACAATAATGCCCAAATAAACCCATGTTTTAGTAACTGCTCTTTTGTTGTACATCCTCTAAATAGGAGGTATGTTATCTGTCAGAACGTGCATCTCCTAAGAAGACAAGTTCCACTGCTAGTGCACCAAGTATAGTAGTTAGGGCCCCAGAAGCGGTTCAGAGAAGAGCCGTTCACTCTGCTTTTGGCATCATTATCACAGACAGCTTTGTATTTAAAGACAATCCTAAAGCTGCTGCCATTTTTACCCCTTTCTTAAAAAAAAGGGGGGGGCTACATGCTAAAAATATTAGGGCATGCATGTACAGAATTTATTCCATTTTAAATTTTGCACAGATTACATCACATGTAACTTTTGTGCCCATTTTTGTTGCACATCTGCCTGCAAACTTGTCAGATTAGCTCTCTTCCTGGTAATTCTCCCCAAGTCAGTTTTATTGGATTCCTTCAAGAAGGTGATTTTTTTTTTCCCCAAAAGAGTATAATTTGAATCAGCTACTAAATTTCTGCTGAAATCCAGGGAGTACATGTGTGCCCTTTCCCCTTAAGGGCTCTGTTCCCAGATAGCTGTGGCCTTAATGGTAGACACAACTGTGTGCAGGTTTTTCCTAGGGACAATCTGGCCTGCAGGGAGAAGTGGGGCTAGGCTTGGTCTTCCCTTTGGATTTCTCCTGTTCTCCTTGACCTCTGGACTCTGGGCAGCTTCAGGCACAGTCCTTGGATCACCATCTGAATGCTGTTGACGCCCCAGCTTGGATTGCCAGCTTGGCTCTCCCTCCAGACCTAGACTTGTAACCAACCACTTGCTCAATGTTTTGACTTCAGCACCTGCCCCAGCTTGGCAGAGATGGCTCTATTTGTTTAAAAACCTGTCCTGACCCCAGTGGTCTGAGATCGCTTTTCTTACTGCTTCTAGCAGAGATCATTTGTTTCTTATTTTAAGTTAAAATTCTACCTCTGGGGCTGAGGTTGTGGCTCAGCGGTAGAGCACTCACCTAGCACATGGGAGGGCCTGGGTTTGATCCTCAGCACCACATAAAAATAAATAGAAATAAAGGTATTAAAAAAAAATTCCACCTCCCTAAGAGAATTTTGAACACCTTACAGGGCTTCTCATTAGGCTTCCAGCACCCCTGGGCCTAAGTTGTTTCTGGAATACTGTGAAGTATTAAAAACTGGAATGCAGGGGCTGGGGATGTGGCTCTAGTGGTAGCGCGCTCGCCTGGCATGCGTGCGGCCCGGGTTCGATCCTCAGCACCACATACCAACAAAGATGTTGTGTCCGCCGAGAACTAAAAAATAAATATTAAAAATTCCCCCCCCCCCCCCCCCCCCCCCCCCTTTAAAAAAAAAAAAAAAAAAAAAACTGGAATGCAGAATTCAAGGTCAGGTACACTCTGAATCTCTTCTGTTTACCATCCTTCAAAAAACCCCAAAAGAGCTGCTTTATGTTTATGCTTGAAACAGTTGTGTTTAGGTAAAAATATTATATTGTAGACAGATCTTAGTAAAAGAGGCCAGATGTGTTTCTCAAAGTAGATATTTATGTATTTAAGAGGAAAATCTATGTTTCAAGAAACTTGTGGAACAAAATGTAGGATATATACTTAACTATAAGAATTATTATGATCTGGCAAAGTTAGACTTAAAATTTTAATGTTGCGTTCCCATGGGAACAATTAAGACAATTAAATGCTCTAACCCTAAAGAAAGATGTTTAAAAGTTGGAATTTTATTAACTAAGATTTACTATTACCCTTTTGAACAGCATGAAATCTCCCGTCCTGAAGAGCAGAGAATAAAATGTATACTGAATCAAGGGCCAAGTCTGAGAAAATGTAGAATTCACCCTCTTACTGAAAGCAAATGACAATCACAGGTGACAGGCCCGGCCTGTTTTGGTTTGAGCTTGGTCTTGTGACTTTTTCCAGACTTCTGCCTAGTTAATCAGAGGAAGCTGGATGCAACCAGACACAGTCACTAGCCCAGCAGCAGCTTATTCTAGGATAGAAGCATCCTCCCTCCCAGCTACACTAACTTGGTGTCCTCCTTGTGGTCCAGGAAAAGGTGAAATGGGACCACCCGCAGAAGCAGAGGTCTCCCTTCGGTGCCCGCTAAGATCAGAATCAGATTAACTAAAGGGATGTAATTCCATTAAACTCTTGATGTGGAAATAATTTTAGATTTATGGATAGTTGTAAAGATGGAATCGAGTTCCCATATTTCCTTCACTCAGCTTTCTCTCACATCTTCCATAATCCTGGTACATTTATCAAAACTAAGATTGGTACAAGACGTGAACTAAAAGCACAGACTTAATGCAGACCTCACCCCATGTTGTCCACTAATAATACTAATAATGTTCTTTCCTATTTCAGAATGCAATCCAAAATCCCACAGTGCACTTAATGGGCAGTCAATTTTTAAAGGAATTCACTATCAAGGTCTTGGCTCCATTTCAGAAGTTCAGCTTCCTAGAGGGGCTTCGTTGCTCTGGGGTGAGTACTCAGGGCCTGTCACAGATTGCATAGGATCAAGTTGCTGGTGAACCCATCTGGAAGGGAGAGAAGGTGTTTGTCACCTCAATTCACTTTTTCCCTAGTATTTGCATCTAATAGAAAAGGACTTCTTGGATTCTACTTAAAACTTAGCTTCTCATTCCCGTTCCCCCATCTCATAACAATAACTTGATTGTCTCCCTCTTTCCCTCTGGCACCCGGTAGCTAATTTTCTTTGTGTCTAAATGAGTTTAAAATGAGCACGATTTTTATATACAACATTATTAACAAGTGTCAGCACAGCTCTGAGAATAGTGCCTGGGAACTGCGTGTGTTTCAGAATTCATAGGGGAGCAGAGATCCAGCTCATCTTGCAAACGCCCATGGATGGCTAATTACCCAGAAAAAAAAAATCTTTATGACATTTTCTGCCATTTTACCCTTGAGAGGGAAGATTATTGACTTCCACGTGACTTGCATGTCTCCCTTTGTACAACTAAAACTCTTCCCCAAGAGCATTTTTTTCCTTTGGGCACAAGAAAAAAGCAAATGAGTAGCTAAGGAATATATGGATTCTGTTCAATACAGGAAGGAGGCAGGCGAGAGATAGAGGGTGTGATTATTGAAGAAAAAGGATGGTGGAAATTTGTTTGGGGCTCAAAGAAAGACTGCAGAGAGAACCCAATCTTCAGAGCCACATTGCCAGAGGCACTGGAGGAGAGAAATAGCAATAGTTGTTCCCAGAGAGTGGCCTTATCTTAATGGGTCCAAGAGGGCCTGGCACTCTGCTATCTCTTTGTTCAGGAGCAGAACATTTTAAAAACTGTTTCAAAGGACACTGTCATTTTCTAATTTAGCACTTTGTAGACAATTTCTTAATCCAAGATTCCAAGTAAATATTAAATAATGTGCTTTTTTTTCCCCCCCCCAAATAATTGAGCAGTCCGGGAAACATTTTCTTAGGTTTAAAGCCAGCTCTGAACTTGATCAACATTTCAGAGGATCCAATCAGCTGAATTTCTGGATCACTCCAAAGATTTTGATAGAGGAAGAGGGAGCCACAGAGCATGATGTATCCTGTTGGTGTACGGCCAGAGTGAGGATCAAGTTGTTCTCCAACTTTTAAGACTTTTAAAAATGAAACCAATAAAAAAATTGAAAACCTCGCTCCCCTGAAATACTGTTATTTCCATAGACTGGTTATGATTTTGAGGGGGTGGGGTACTGGGGATTGAACTCAGGGGCACTCGACCACTGAGCCACATCCCCAGCCCTATTTTGTATGTTATTTAGAGACAGGGCCTCACTGAGTTGCTTAGCACCTTGCTTTTTCTGAGATTGGCTTTGAACTCTCCATCTGCCTGCCTCAGCCTCCTGAGCTGCTGGGATTACAGGTGTGTGCCACCGTTCCCGGCCTTGTAGTATTTTTTGATGAATAGAAAAGTTATTAAACCTATCTTTTACAAAAGAAGGAAAGAAAAAATAGGCACAAAGAGTTAATGTGACTTCCCATACACAGTGTTACTAGTAATAGTTTTTATTGAGAGCTCCTTCTATTCCAGGTGTTAAGATAACAACTTTACATTATCTCATTTAATCTTCACAACAACTCTGAGAGATAAATCACTGTTACCCCCATTTTTAGAGAAAGAGAGTCAGTGAAGTTAAATGTGTCAAAGTCACACCATAACCAGTGCTATACCCAGGTCAGGCCAATTCTGAAGGTCAAGCTCTCGCCTACCCCACTATGTTGTGCAGTTAGCAGCAGAGCCAGGCCCAGGGCAGCCCTTTCCCAGACACCCTTTCGATGCAGTCTTGGTCCTTCTACCAAAAAAAAATCATGACACCACTCCTAAGTGTCTCCTTTGGAAAAATTGGCCCAAGCTATGCCTATGTCACATACCCATTATCTGC